TATATTAACTGTATTATATTATATTAATTTAAGATTATATTTAGCAGTAATTATAAGTAATATTTAAAATAACTTTTTAGTAAGGGTTATTATATATATTTTATTAATACTTAATTTTTATTATTAATCTCTTTAAATAATAAGCCTTACCTTATATTTTTATAAATAACTATACTTATTAAATTTATAAGTAAATATCTATATATAGTTAAGTACTTTTAAGTTATTAATATATAGATTGCTTTTTGTAATTTTAATTTAAAATCCTATTTACTTATAACTCTTTAAGTAATCTTTTTATGCCTTTTTAAACTTTACTTTTAATTTATATTTAGATAAATTACTATAAGAATTTAATGCTAGAGGCAGATCCTTTTTATAATACCTTTATCTTTTAGGATTAAGGTTTATTTAAGTTATTTATACTTTATATTTAGGCTTTAGTTTTCTATTAATATATTTACTTTTTACTGCCTTTATTATTAGCTTGCTATTTTTCTCTATAATTAGGGAAGCTATTAAGCTAGCACTAAAGGCTTAATTTAAGATATAAAGGTTTTTTTTTATTTCTTTCCTTTTTTTTATATTTTAGCTTATTTAGATCTTTAATTTAGTAAAAAAGCTTAATAGTAGGCTTTTTAGTAATATTAAAAGTAATTTACATTTTATTTAAGTATATTTTATAGGTATTATACTTTCTTTATTTTTTAACTTTACTTTTTTAATAGGTAAATCTTTAATTAGACTTTTAAGATATATTTCCTATAAATCCTTTTTATCTATAATCTAAATAGGGTTTAATATTTAATTAATTTACTTAAAGCTTAAGAAAGCTTATAGCTACTATTATAGCTCTTTAAGTATTTTCTTTCTAATAGTATACTTTATTTATACTTTATTAGCACTAAAGAATTCTTTTTTATTAAAAATAATATCTTAAGTTATATAAACCTTATTTATAATAAGGTTTTATACTTTAAAGATATTTAAGGAATTATATTTAATTAGGTAGTCTATTTATACTTTTAGACTTATTTTTAATTAAAGGCATTTTTCCTTTTTCTATACTTTATTTATTAATAAGAATGCCTTATATCTAATAGTTTTTATATAGCTAATTTAAGGCTAGTTACTTTTTTTTATAGTTAGAATGCCTAAAAAAAAGCTTTTATATAGTATTTTCTATTTTAGTCCTTATTTTAATATTTAATTAAGTATATATATTACTATTTTTATTATTTCTAGCTAAAGACCTAAAGAGAGATTATTATTAATTATTAATAGCTTTACTTTTTTTTTAATTACCTCCTTAAAGTGCTCTTTAGAGCCATTCTGCTATTAGGTTTTTAGTATACTCTTATTTACTTTAATTCCCTTTTAAAGTAGCTACTTACTTATCAAATGCCCCTTTTATAACTTATTATCTATTTTTATAGCTTATAGTTTAACTTTATATATTATCTTAAGCATTTAAGTAAAGTACTTAAGTATTACTAATAGATTTTTATTATAGCAGTTTATAAAATAGTAATCTTAATATAGTCCTAAATAGCAATTTATAATAATAGTATATAATATATAACTATTTATTTTAATTAAATAGTTATAAAAGTTAATTAAGACTTTCTTTTTAGCTTTTAAGGGTTATTTTTATAATTTATAATACTTTTAATACTTTATCTTTATTAATATATATATATTATATTTTACTATTATTAGTCTTTTAATCTTGGCTTTAAAGGTATAGTTTATAAAATACTTTAGACTTTTTAATTTTAAATATCTTAATTAATAGTACTATATTCTAGCTAAAACTTTATTTAGCTTATATATAATCTAAAAGTTATATTATAAATGCCTTATAGTAAATAAAACTTACTTACCTATTTTAAAGATATAATTTAATATATATTAATTATATTTTTATTTAAGCTTATATAATATTTAGCTATTTATATATTTTAAAATATTAGTATTATTTTATTAGTCTTATTAATACTTTACTTATTATATTTTATATAATAATATTAAGTTAATATCTATTTCTAGATAATAGGCTATATTATATAGGGTTATTATTTAAGGTTTATTTTATAGGTCTATAACTTAAATCTATATATTACTATATCCTTTAATTAATAGCTATTTAGATTTAGTATATATTCTTTCTCTATATTAAGCAGTCTTTAATAACTTAAACTATTTTAAGTTATTAAATATATATAAAGTAGTTCTAAAGTTTAAAATATATAAATTATATAATAGGTATTTACTGCTTAAGGCTAAAAAAGTTACTGCCTTTTTTAAGATTAAAGGACTTACTAGAGATTATTAACTTAATTTCTCCCTTAAGGTAATATTTTCTATTTAGAGTCTTTAATAGAGTTCTTTAATTTTTTTATTACCCTTTAGGTATTATTTAAATAGATTTAGCTATCTTTAGTTTAGCTAAAACTTCTTAAGTATTACTTTAAGGAATATTACTTAATATAATATACTATTAAAATACTTATAATTTTTTTTATATAATATATATTTTTTTAAGGTTTCTATAGTTTATTAGACTTACTTTATTAAGCCTTCTTTAGATTTATTAATAACTAATTAATTTTACCTTTTATTTTTTATTAATAAGCCTTATTCTTCTAAAGTTAAGGTTTTAAATATTAATTTAAAGCTCCTTTTTATAATATAATTAAGCTATAATTTATTGCCTTTTTTTTATTATTTTAAATTTCCTATTTAAATTATATTAAAAAGGTTAATAGAAAATATAATTTATTTTTAATTTCTTTTTTATTTTAGCTTTATTTAATTTATAGAAAGATCTTAAAGTAATAATCTAAAGCCTATTATAGATCTTTAAATTAAGTATTTAAATATTATATCTTAATAATACCTCTTAACTTTTTAAGTTAAATTGCCTTTTTTTATTTTATAATTTATTTTTTTTAATTAATTTTAGGGCTTAAGGCACTCTTTAGTACTTTAAAATAGTATTTTTAAGCTTATTTCTTTCTTATAGCTTTATTAATATTATATATAGCTTTAAGGTTAAGAAAGAATTATAATATATTATTATAGTTACTTAACTTATTTATAGTAGGTAAATATATTTTAATATAATAAAGGCTTATTTTCTTAATTATTTAATTTAATATATTATAAATACTATTTATTTATTTATTATATTAATTATAATTAATATAATAGATATTTATTTTAGCTTTATATATCTTTTATTTTAAAGGCAGTAAGTTACTATATTTAGTTATATTATATTCTTTATATTTAATACTTAAGTTATCTAAAAGCGATTTAATATATAGTTTTACTTAATAGTCTATAATATTAGGCTACTATAGCTCTTAAATATATAACTTTATAAAGAAGCTTAGATCTAATAGTTAGCCTAATTTATATACCCTCTTTGCAGTAGTTTTTATAATATATAACTATTTAAAGGAATTCTAGTTATTAAGGCTATTAAGAAGGTAGATCTTTATATTTATATTATAGAATATTATATTATATATAGGCTCTTGCTTTTAAGGGTTATTTTAATGATTTATTCTTCCTTTTTGTAGTTATAGCTGCCTTAAAGAAATATAGCTTTAAGACTTTTAATTATTAAACTAAATCCTCTTTTTTTTATTAATTATCTTATTTTTTAGTATTTAACTACCTCTCCTTTTAGTTTTTTTTTAGTTATATAATTAGTATAATCTAACTTTAAGGCTTATTTAGGTTAAATGCTTTACAGTCTAGATTAACCTATCTTAATTATATAATATTAATGGTTTAATATAAACCTTATATAATTTTAACCTTTAAGATACGGGCCTACTATAGAGGCCTTATTGTTTAAGCCTTTATATATAAAGTTAGAAGCTTAATAGCCTTATAAGACTGATAGTAAGGGAAAAAAAAATAAAGGTTTTTATTAATTTTAGTAAGATAATATTTATATTTATATCTTAAAGTCTAAAATAAACTAGCTATTAAAAAATAGTATTTTTTTTAAATTAATTAGTCTATTTATAGCCTTAATTTAAACCTAATTAAATATATTTAAAAATAATTAAAGTTAAATATTAAAAAGATATTTCTTTAATTAAATCTTTTAAAAAATAATAAATTTAATAAAGTAAAGTTAATAAAATATATTAAGTTAATATAAGTAGTAATTATATTAAATTAAATTAATTATTGAATTAACTTACTTTCTTAATAACTTAATGCCTTTATTTATATAAAGGGATAGTATATAAAATATTAATTAGGAAAATTAAGACTTTAAAATAATATAGTTTCTATATTTTCTATATTTATTTTAGAATTATTATATATATATAAAGTTATTTTTATTAAATAGATTAAGTTGCTATAAGGTGGGGTATCCAGAGACTTTTAGAGCATAATTTTACCATTTCTTTCACATTGAGGTCGGAGATTCTTTTATCATTCTCTGTGTACGTGGGGTTCAAGTATTTACCAACCTTACTTGGTAGGTAGAGTAAGGTGTGTCGGCACTATGGCCTCCTTGTCGCCGTTGAATATGCAGAAGCATGTAGTGGATGCCAATCACAATGACATTGGCTGGTTCAATTACTCTGATAACTTCTTTATTGGAGACAGGATCGAATAATATACTATGCAACTCCAGAGAGAATACCTACTACCTAAAGGTAGCTAATTCGCCTTAACTTTAGGTACCTAGCTTATCTGTGCTAACCTTAGATGGCGTCTGGCGCTCAGTGTAGCCACCCACTGAAGTGACCGGGGGTCCAGATCTAGCCCAGTAGGCGGATTGGCTGGAGCCTGGACCACCTTACCTCACTCACTTCATCATTGGGTTTGTCGGCCTGAGCCAACTCGTCACCAACCCGCCAAAATTGCTTCCGTGTCCACCTTGAAGCCAGAATTGCTTCCTCTGTCATCTTTCGAAACCTCACCCTGCCTTTTATCTGTACGCCTCCAAGCAGGCTCGATAGACCATCATGGCCATTCTGTATGCTTCTCCGCGGCAAACCAACTTTTTCCGCCTGCTGACCGAGAGCTAACTACAGATATCTCATTCTCCTATCCCGTCAGGGCAAAGTGGTGTGTCTTGGTTGCTCACATGCGCAGCTTCAACAGCACTGACTAGTCATGACAGCGTCTTGCCAAATGGTTCACAACACTCTCCCCCAAGGACAAGGCCAAGATCGTCAAGGATGTATCTCAGCTTGTGCTCGCTCGAAGAACGCGCATGTGCAACTTTCTAGAATATAAGGGTCAGTTTCCTAACCCCTTTGTTTTGATAACCTTGAGCTAACCAGTATGTAGATACAAAGATTGTCTATCGCCGATATGCATCACTCTTCTTCATCGCCGGATGCTCCTCCGAAGATAACGAGCTGATCACCCTCGAAATTATCCACCGATATGTCGAGCAGATGGACAAGTACTACGGCAACGTTTGCGAGCTTGACATCATCTTCTCTTTCACTAAGGCATACTATATCCTCGACGAAATCCTCCTCGCCGGCGAGCTGCAGGAAACGAGCAAAAAGAATGTTCTTCGCTGCATCGGCCAGCAGGACTCCCTTGAAGATATGGAGGTAAGTCATGACCAGCTTGATAAACTATGAAGTTTTGTGATAGCCCGGCAACCTACACCCACCCACTCACCCGCCAAATCGTCGCAAGACAGCTGACGCCAAGCCTCCAACAAGGTCGAGGACGAAGTTACAAAGATCATGTAAACCTCCTTGACGACCTTTTAATTGCTACCCAACATCAATTCGACACCGCTCCCGAAGCGTCGGATTGAGGCGATCGATCAATACCTACCAAGCGTTTTCATACGAGTTGCAGTATATTTACTGGCCGAGAATTAACTTTGGTTCAACAGGCCGACGAACAAGTATTGGCGTCGCTCAAGGAGTCAGGAATTCTGTAATGGGAAAGTCTTGGGCGGCTGAGCATCTCTTCGATGGGAAGAGAGGACACGCATGTTTGCATCGTGGGAATAGGCGCAGGTGGTGTTTTGGGAGTCTCGGACCGTGTTGGTCTTGTTTTGTAGATCTTTGACGGTGGAAAACCACCTTCTTTCGTATCAAGAGATGAGGCCTGTGGGCCATGGTGTTGCGACAGCTACGACGAGCAGCGCAGAGAGATTGTCTCCGGTCCGCGACCCGGTATCGGTCAAACGTCGACGCAACATTGAGAGGAGAGCGAGCCTTGAACAACAGCAATGATAATCATCAGAGGCTGTATTCCACTGAAAGTAGTCTGGCCTGGCACGTTGGGCCACCTCCTGTGCTTATCGAAGCCGAAATCAGCCGCACTGCTCAGTCGCAACACCTCGGCCCACAACTGGAATCAAGAGAAAACGATTGACCTCATATGCTTGTTTCTATTTCTTCTTTCTTGTTTCTCCAATTTCCAACTGACGTTAGACGGTGACTGAAGACGGATCTGGCCCATCCATCAAAAGATGGACCATTTCATCCTAGGGATCGACTGAAGCGCGTGGTTTCGGAGTTCAGCCCCATTCGCTATCGCTGATCAATCGCGTGGAGTTGCCGCCAGGGCATTCCCCCTATTACGATACGCCAAACTTACACCTTCGGGTCTTCGAACAACGGATCGTAATTAAGGACATGTGCGAAACGATTGGATTGTAAGTTGGCACTGAAGAATTGATCAAAACAGAGTCCCTGATGTTTGTCTCATGAGAGCCAAAGAATGAAGCATGAGGCTTACAGGGGGTCTCTTGGCTCCCGTTGATATCCATGGCTTAACTGGCAGTACCGAGAACTGGCGCGATCCCCGGAATTCTTCAACGTTGGCCGGACCAGGGCCGGGACCGGTCCAAGCTCAAGCCAATTCAACTCAGCTCTCAGCAAAAGTGACTGATTTTGAGATCCCGTGGCTGGCTGCAGCAAAGGATCACACCAGATTTGAGTGGACTCAAATGTCTTTGTTTGACGAGAACGCAACGCAACCGAGAGACAGAGTTACCGTTCATCCGCTAACCTCAGACAGCCCAACAGGCCATCCCATTCTACTTCAACCATTCTATCCCGAAGCCGGTCAATTCCATCCACTCAAAGTCTATCCATCCATATCCATCCTTTCGATTGCGGCCCCTCAATCAGTCATCCTGTGTTTCCTTGGTCTCATAAACTAACCAGGTTCCTGCCTTATCTATTTGCTTATTGCTTATTCACATAGATGTATTCACCAACTCAACCTCAACCTCAACCCTGTTACTTGCTTATCTCTATCCAAAACCCCCCCTTTCATCATCATTTGAATCGACCAGGCTCTCGGCAATCTCCTGTCCAATCCTTGATCTGATCAGTGCCTATTATTATCTCCCGTCATCGCCAGCCAATCTCTTTTTTATCTCCGGTCTTTTAGATTCTCAGGGTCCTTGCTGGCTGCACTGTATCTCCCAACGTTACAGTAACGAATCTGCCGCCGATTACTCCGTCCAGGGCATTAGAAATTACCACCGCGATTTAAGTTCCTGGCCTCGCCCCTCCCGAACTGTACCTGCTCCTGACCCGGCGATCGTTAATTGCCGACTTCCTTCCGCCTACTTTCAATCATCCTCACCCTGACACTATTATCCCCCTCTTTCTCCTCAATCATCAATACCCCGTATCGCCGCATTATCGATTGTCGCAACCAATTTCGACATCGTGTTTTATGACATCGGCCATCGTACGCTTACCGCCATCTTTCCCATATCGCGACAACTATCACCTTCCGGCTCCGGCCCACCGCGACTCCACGCTGACGCAATCTGTTCCCTTGACTGCTCCCTCAATCAGTCAGTCGCATCACGCATTTACGGCCCAGCGCATCAACACCGCAACATTCCCACCACAGAATCGACCTCAAAGTGCCCTTCAGCTTCCAAGATGAAGGTTAGCAGCCCCAGGACTCCGCGGAGGAACCCCTCATCCGACATATGCTAACGCGCACATACAGTATCTACCAGTACAAGACTTCGAAGCGGTGACGAGCGCGCTGAACTTCAACACACCCGACTGTAGCGTGACCGGCGGATGCGATCTCTACACAACGAAATCAACAGGTTCTGACAAGAAGCTCTACAAGAACATCGACAACGATCTGAACTCGCAACATGAAGCCCTTCTCAAGCTCGGCGCCAGCCTATCACCGCCTGAGCGCGCTCACATGCTTGCTACTTCACCGAGCATGCAGCTGTTTTCACACTCAAGTGCTTTCGGCCCCTTGTCTGAGCTCTCGAGTCGCAAGACATTTGCATACCTCATCGCGACGCTGAATGCGAGTCACCCACACTACGATTTCTCTCATGTCCTTCGACCCAACGACTTCAAACGCGAGCGAAACCTGCGTCGCGTCATGGTGAACCTCGATTCAATTCTTCAAAACGTAAGACCTAACTTCGAGCCCAAATCTCTCGGTTCCTCGCTAGGCAGTGAGACAACCTCGATATGGGGCCCCCAATGCTGGTCATTGATCGACAAGGAGATGCACCTCAACGAGTGTACTATTTTCAGCTACAACCCCGAGAGCGACCCCTTTGAAGAAGACGAGAGTGCAATCTGGGCTTCACACTACTTCTTCTTCAACCGCACCTTGAAAAGAGTGGCATATCTTTACGTCCGCGTTGTGCCAGTTATCTCGTCTCATAGCCCAACTCTCCGACCCACAAATCTGGCCAGGAACCACAGCAACCAACGGGATCTCGCATCAGCTGGTGCGCAGAAACGCGCCAACTACTGGCTTGGTGATCAAGACGCCGAGTTAGTGCCATATAATGAGGACGACGAGGAGCTCATTGACGACGGTCTTTTTTGGAATCGTGGAGAGAACGGAGATCTCGTTGCCTATTCAGATGAAGACTTCGACGAGGATATCGAGGATATGGACATGCTCGATAGCAGTCCTGACAGGTCCATGAGCGATGATGTCGCCGGCCGTATGGAGATCTAGGGTTGATTCGATCCAAATCGTCATGATAGATCGGTTCTTCAAGAAACGGCCTCTTCGGTTCGAAACCGAGCATCAACCGTATCTCTCTGAAATCATTATTTGCTGCATTATTTCAACATTCAACACTATCCTAATCTCAACTGGGGTTGCTCGATACCAACAAATCGAGACAAACGAAGCTGAATAGCAAACGACTTTTGCTTCGCTTTTTTGTATTTTGCGAGCATTTTTACTCTATGCTCTTTTCTTTCGACATGCCATTTGCTTAGTATGAAAGTGTGAGGCCCGGTTAGGCTTCTGGTCGGTGAGAGCGGCTGGAATTCCGCGACATGAGGCGTTTCTGGGTCCGCTTGTCAACCTGCTATTCCTGGAGATGATTGCAGGCTTCTCTGTTCTAATTACTGCATCTTTTTCCCCACCTCTATCTCTGCTTTCTTTTTCAAGCACTGTTATCCTATATCCTTTAACCTGGGTTTGGCTTTGGCTGCTTTTGATTTGAATACCGCCTGACACGGCTATGCCTGGATGTATGATGAGAAATCGTGGCTCGGTGTCGGTGTCGTCTCGTTTGGGAACGGCATGGAATGATAGTTGGCGCTAGCGGCATGGGAACTCGGGTGAGAGTAACGACCTGGTTTTATGGTGATGATGTACATGATGGGTTGAGGGATGCATGCCATGGGCTAGTCAGGCTGGTAATTGCTTTGACACGATATTGCGAATTCATGATTTCAAATTCCCAATGGCTTTACTGGATAAGTACCTTAGTTGAAAGTGATCACTGTTTCCTCGACCTTGAGTTCAGTCGAGAGCAAGTCTATGCGTAAGAAGACACGTGTAGCCGGGATGACGCAAACAGCTGTATACATCTAGGATTCATTCGTTACGCAGGCACCGTCAAGCATTCAAATTTGGCTTGAACTGTCTTTGACATGACTTTATCGTTGAGCGTGGGGCAGGGTATGTCTTAGGTATATGCCAACCATATTCAAATACATCTTGATTCCTGCAGCGGCCGCTACCATCTTCCATGGAACTTTGAAATTAGCCGGCCGTTCAGACACTTGAGCATGCCACAAAGTTGATACATGGACAGTATGCCAGTTGGCTTCTTAACGGCATGTATTTGAGCTCGTCGTTGGTTCTTTGTTTGATTTTGGTTTTGGTGGCGAAGAGGTTCTGGTGGGTGGCTCTGGGTGTGGTACATGTATCATGTAACTGTGTTACTTTTGGGGTTATCTCGAGGGTTCACAAAGGATAGTTACTCTCTGATGTGTACTCAGAGATGAGGGTGAGAGTTGACTTTGGGAAAGAAGCCCGTAGCTTCAGTCTATACAATCTGAAAGCCTATTTCATCAGCACATGGGTATCGTCAGAGTCAACGTGGTTGAGACATGTCCGATGTCTAGTTTCCAGGTTATCTCACAACGGACAAGAGATGGCCAATTTGGCTGCGAGTCTTGTTGGGAAACGGAATGCCACACTTGGTCTGGAGCGGATGAATGCAAACGTTGCTATCGCCCTCAAGGAACTCGGCCTCGACATTGTTGATGTTCAGCAGGCCATAGAGACAGTAAGGACTTTCAAATCGCCTGAGGAGGTCAAATGCATTGTCGCATCTCTTCGCGCAACAGAGTTCGCTGTGGGCAGACTCCGTGATGCAGTCTCACCAGGTCTTGCGGAGAACCAACTCTGGTCAGTCATGCACAAATCCTTAATTGAGCAGAATGGAGACTATGTCGAGACTCGACTCCTCACCGCTGGGCCACGAGCAAACACTTGGTTCCAGGAGTCAGCGAGTTATGCCATCTCGAAGAACGACCTCGTGGTTCTAGACACAGATGTAGTCGGCTGCCATGGATACTACTCTGACTTCTCACGAACGCTTCACGCTGGTCCGGATCCTCCTCCCGAGGAGTAAAAGTAGACATACAGAACTGCACTTGCACAGGCCAATCACAACATGAGGATCCTCGGGCCGGACTTGACCTTTGGCGACTATACAGATCTCGCATGGGATATTCCTGAGCAGTATTGGGCTAACCGGTATTTTGTCTCAGCGCATGGCTGTGGTCTCACGGAGGAGGATCCGTATTTGCATCATCGAGGAGATTTGCCAGATTCTGGCTATGATGGTGTTATCGAACCGGGCATGGTACTTTGCGTTGAAAGTTATATTGGCAATGAGGGTGGCACACAGGGTGTCAAGCTGGAACGGCAGTCCTAATCACCGAGACAGGGATTCAGGTTTTGTCAAAGTTTCCCTTTGAGGAGGCTACGCTGAAGTGACTGGTGCAAGTCAACTATTCTTCTATACTGTCTTGTCCGACAGTCCACCCGTCCTCTGGATATGAACACGAATCAATCCATCGGGAACTAATAAGGCAAGCATTCGAGCTGAGAGCATTGCCCGCAAGATCGATCATAGAACTTTGCTCCTCTATCATTAGCCGAAATGCCCATACTCTCTTTGGGGATCGATGAAAGGTAACAGTTCCTGTAATATTGGGAAACGACCCAGCCAAATACCACACAGCTCTCATCCTCCAAACATGCTCGGGCACACATCTCGACGCTCCCCTGGAACATCGGCATGGATCTGTAATTTGGGCCATTGTTGTTGAAATTTCCCTGAGTACTACCGCAGAGACTAGTAGTCTCTGTTGGAACAGCACAGGTTGGTTTGTATTCACCCACATAGATGTCGTCAATAGCTACATAACGGACGGCAGCCTGGCTGTTAAGTCTGATAAAGGCATAGAGGTGGTCGTTCATTGCTCCTTGAAAGATCGAAGTGCGTTGGACGTATTTAAAAGGGGCGCCTTTCGGAACAAAGACTTTCTCGTTATGGACATGGCCATATCTCTGAGTGGCGATGATGAAGGAGAAATCCCAGTCTTGGTCAGGGTCAGAAACAGGAGCATATGAGAACCAGACTTGGTACTTCTTCGTCGAGTCTAGGGATATGGGCCTCCACATATCAGATCCAAGGGTAGAGCCCGGTCCTGAGCTAACAAGTCTTATGTGACGTTAGCTTTGAGGAGTCTGGGAGCGCTGATATGTATCCGACTTACGCAAACTGGTCGCCACTATGAGCACGCGGTACGTCCTGAGAGGTGCTGCTCTTTTGTTGAAATGGTACGGCGATACCGGCGAACTGCCCCATATAGTCCCATCTGTTCTCGCCTGTATTGTCTCCCTCAAAGCTTGGGTCCTCGATAGAAACTGAGACAACGGGACATGATGCTGATGAAGTTGTTGAAGTCCATAGGCTTTCTGTTACCGACGTGCTTTCGGATGACGGTAGCAATGTAAGCAGGGTTGTGGTGGTGTCAATGCTTGTGGGCACGCCACTAGTCACAGTCGTGGCATCAATGGTTGTAGTAGGTCCGTCGGATGTGGCGATATCAATAGTGGAAGTATCGGTTGAGACCTTTCTGTCTCCTGAGCTGACTATCTCAGTTGTTGCATATGATACGGTAGTGTCAGTTGATGTTCTAGGCTCGATTGAAGTTGAGTGAGCAGTGGTGGCTGCATCGGCGGTCGCAGTCGACTCGTTGGATGCAGCGGGGATGATTGAAGCTGCTGTATCAGTAGTATCAATCGAATCAGTAAGAAGGCCTGAATTAGAGGTGTTGTCTGGAGTCGAGTTGTTGCTTGGTTCCGATTCATCAGTTGAGGCAGTGGTAGTGGTAGTGGCCCTCGTCGTGGTAAGATCGTCGCTTGTCGTTACAGCAGCCAAAGTCGATCCAAAGCTATTTGGCGATGTCAATGTCGATGTCTCAGAATCGAACTCAGAATCAGAGATAGCTGGAGGGTTGACAGAGGCTGTATAGTCTGAAAAGCTGGCACTCAAGGTTGTGGTTTGCGGCCAAGTTATAGCTGAAGAACCACTCAACGCTGTTGGGACAAGTTCGCCAGCACCGGTAGAACTTGAATGGTCTGTTGAATATGAGGCGTCCAGACTTTGCGCGGTTCCAGCTTTTGGACCGATCACCGTTGAGGTACCTGAGATCCACGACAAAAGTGATGTATACTTAGGGTGAGAATGTGGTTTACATTTTCCAGCCTCAGCAACAAAGACGCTCGATGCTGCCAATACAATGGCAAGCACTCTTGAAGCCACCATATCCGCATCCGTCTTTTAAAACGAGTAGGCATCTACTCTATTGTACATGATTTTGGCGGGCGAGTGTCCCTTTTTGTCCAACCAGAGTGGTAGTCAAGAAATAACCATATCTCCGAGAAGCGCAATTCTAGATGCATTTAGAACGAACGGGAACCAAATAAAGCAAGCACTAGATCCCAGCCGGTCGATCTAACAGGGAACAATTACAATCAATAGCATACGGTTGTGACATAGCGTCAGGGGTACAGAGCTTGAAGTGGTGAAAAGGACTGATGCTTGGCCGTTTATTATGGACTTGGGCAATTTTATTCTGAGGCGCCATTTCTCTAGTTTTAAATAGTTCCATGGACTAAGCTCTACAGGCTTTATTGACAACCTGCGAACCACGTTCAAAAGGAACCGAAATATTCCAAAGCTTTTATTGACGACACCAATTCGTGCATGTCTCCAAGCATTGGATAGAGACTGGAGATGCCATGAGTAAGCGCCCAGAAGTCTTCTGATATCAAGACGAAGGAGACGAAGAAGCGAGCCGTGATCGCTCTAGGAAAACTGAAGTTGCTAGTGAACCAAAGGCAGTACTTCTTTACTAATATTTTTATTCTGTTATGGAGGAAAAACAAGAAGAGAGGTACATCATGACTCAGTAATTGGCTCTGGTCTTTCAACAGTTCTTTTTGTTATTAGTTCTCAATCAAGTATCGCATCCTTGCCTTAGTAAGATAAGATTCCTTGAAGAACTTGTACGGATAGAAGATGCACTTTAACAAGTGCAAGACAGAACCTAGATGAAGCAAGAGAAATCCATAGCAAGTATCAATCGATCTCACTCTATATATTCAGCCTACTGAAGATAAACGATGACCATTTGCTTCAAGTTCCTGGAGATCAGAAGTCATCAATGTGTCCATATCTTCTTCCCTGTAACATAAGCGTTTCTATATATTTGAGGTGGGATAACGTATCGTTTTCGTCACGAATCTTCTTGTACTAATCTTAGTAGAACAATCTTCCTTAAATTGCCAATACAGTAATTAAAAAGTCGTTTCCCTGCTACCTAGTAGGTCCCTACCTCTATATAGGTATTTCTTCCTCAGAATCGATCAAACGCAAATGGAACCAGATTCAAATGATCCATGCCTTATCTCTTATCGCGATTCTCGACATGGGCTGATTGGCCAATCAAATCGTCCAGATTCCACCCGTCGCGGGGCCTCACCCAAGTCTCCCAAATTTTTTCTTGCTGGCAATCGCTTTCGCTTCATCTCGACTCGTCTTCAGCTTCGACTTATCAAAGTCATCTCACGCCACGGCAATCGCACGCAACACGGCAGCTTCTATGTACCATTTTGTATCGCGGTAAAAAGCAGTGCAAATTAGCTCTGCTTCCGATAAAAACTCCAGAGCATGGCCGTCCAGACGTCGCCATCGCTCACTTCAACCTCACATACCTTGACTGCCGCGCCGCCCGCAATGGCTACTCCCGATTCTTTCACAAATAGCCACGTCTTGGCCCTTTTAGAAAGCCTAGCCGATGGCAAGCGACACGCTTTTCTTCAACCCACAGCTTCCATCCCAACCGATTCTCTCAACCATGTCAAGCACACCCTTGAAGGTTTTGCCTCACAAGTCGGCGATGAGCAACAGGAGAGGTTAAAAGAGAATCGCAAGCGCAAGAGAGGCGCTGCAAATAGCGAGGATGTCCTTAAAATGCGCAAGGTCTATATCGATGGGTTCGAGACTGGCCAGGTTTGGCAGCAGGCCAAGAGAATTATTGGTGGTGTCTTGAAGTATTCGGAAGAGGCGCTGGCAGAGTTGGAGGAGCGCAAGGAGATTGCCGTCAACGGCGCTAGTGCATCAGACTCAAAGACGCTCGAGTTTGGAGAGGATGGCTTCGAAGTAGACTCCGAGGACGAGGACGAGAGCGATCAGGATGGATCCGACGAGGAGGAGGAACAATTATCAGTGGACGAAGCTCAAGACGACGGCCAAGAGGACGACTGGGAAGACGATGAAGAGGAGATCGAAGAAGGCAGAGACGATTATCAGGAAGATGATGAGGAAGACGAGAGTGTGGATGGACCGGTTGAAGAGTATGAGGAGGATCCCGACGGTCTCAACGATGGTTTCTTCTCACTCGACGATTTCAACCGGCAAACACAATATTTCGAGGAGCAGGACGCAAAGGGAGATCCCTACACGGATCAAGCAAGCGACGATGAGGAGATCAACTGGGACGCGGATCCTCTGGCTCCTCCTACAACAGGTTCCAAATCTAAGAAGGCTGCCAAAGAGCCAATCTCTGAAGAGGAAGATGATGACGACGACGAGGACGGCCCTACATTTGGCGACATGGCTCTCGATGCCCCAGAAGGCGACAGTGAGGATGAGGTCATGGATATGGATGAGCCTGTTGATGACGACGACAACGGTCTCAATGCCAATGATGTCTACTATAAGGACTTCTTTGCGCCGCCGCGTCGAAAGTCGAATGGCGGTAAGCCCAAAAAGTCTGTCAAGTTCCAGCCCGAGCAGCCAAACGATGCCGACGTTGAGAGAGCCATGGCCGATGTTCGCAGAGATCTCTTTGACGAGTCAGAACAGGAAGATTCGGACGATGCTCTCTCCGATGTTTCCGCTGGAGATCCCAAGTCAAGACGCTCAGCTCACGAGCGGAGACAAGCCAAGCTTGCCGAAGAGATCCGCAAGCTTGAGGCTGCATCCGTTGCCAAGCGTGAGTGGACTCTCTCTGGTGAAGCTGCTGCAGTTGACCGCCCTGTAAACTCTTTACTGGAGCAGGATCTCGATTTCGAGCATGTTGGCAAGCCCGTACCTGTCATCACTCCTGAGGTCAGTGAAAGCATCGAGGATCTCATCAAGCGTCGTATTCTCGCTCAAGAGTTCGACGAGGTTATTCGCCGACGTCCTGACACCGAAGGTGCAGCCACAGGTACCCGTCGTGGCCTTGTTGAACTCGATGATACCAAGGCTACAAAGGGTTTGGCCGAGATCTACGAGGAAGAGCACGTCAAGAATACAAACCCAGACACCTATGTCAGCCAATCAGACGAGAAGCTTCAGCGCGAAGAAAAGGAAGTTGAGGCTATGTGGAAGGACGTCAGCGCTCGTCTGGACGCCCTCAGCTCATGGCACTACAAGCCCAAGCCCACAGCACCCTCACTATCTGTCGTTGCGGACGTTGCCACTGTCGCAATGGAGGATGCCCAGCCCACAACAGCCCAGGGCGTCACCGGCGAGAGCAGTCGCATGGCTCCTCAAGAAATTTACAGGGCTGGAGCCACAGACAACGTAGCTAACGGCGAGGTCGTCACCAAGGCCGGTCTTCCTGTCGCCCGCCAGGAGATGTCCCGCGAGGACAAGGCCCGCCGGCGCCGTCGCGAGAAAGAACGCGTGCGCAAGGCTGGAGGTGTCGACGGCGAGAAGGTCGTCAGCAAGAGAGCCAAGATGCAGCGCGACACCATCGCCGAGCTCAAGAAGGGAGGCGTCAAGGTCATCAACCGCAAGGGAGAAATCACCGACGTGGATGGCAAGAAGGCAAAGACTGCCAAGATTGCTTCGAGCGGCAATTTCAAGTTGTAGTGGATGGTCAAGGGGCATTGTTCCTTTTTGCAGTTTGGTTCGGGGTTTCAAAAGTAACGATGGGGTGTTTGCATGGCTTGCGAGCGATTCTTCATAAGAACGCATTTTCATGTTTGTTGCATAGGTTTCATATGTCCACACTGGATTCCTGTTTGAGTGACTTGGTTAATGCATAAAAGATGAAGTTTTGTACTCGTCTTCACTCATGAGTTATGCTCACACCTTGCCTGTTAAATCCGTTCATTATGCCGAGCATCCCGCGCAATTAATCGTACATCAGAGAGCTGTCTGTAGTTTTACATTTTGCCACATACTCAGAGTAACATTTGGCTGCTTCAAATTCCCATCCTTTCCGTCCCGTTCCTTTCCTTCCGTCGCAATATGACAATGCCCTGAACTCCACATCCTGACTTAACTTTTCCCGCTGAAATAATAGCCAACTAGTACCATTGACCTCGACCCTAAGCTTCCACCTTGGCCTTCTTGGTCTCGGTATCTTCAGCAGGCTCTTCTGCCTTTCGCTTGCCGTTGGTCTCCGCTTCAGGCCCGCGTGCAGCTTCAGGTTCCCCGGCAGATTCGTCTTTGTTCTTCTTGCGGACAAGTCCACTAAGATCAGTTGCTGTCTTCTTAGCCTCATCAACACGGGCCTTGGTCTCTGCAGCAGACTCGCCAAGGGCAGCACCAAGAATGCCACCGATGGGTCCAGCATCAGCACCCAGAATATCCTTGGCGTCAATGGGGTCATTGCGCAGTTCGACGAGCTAGGCAATCAGTAAAAGAAATCAAAAACGTCCCAAAGGGACCAGGAGGCACAAAGACTCACTCGCTGCTCCATGTCCCCAATGACCTCCTTCATCTCCTGGATGGATTTGCGTGCCAGCTCGTTATCCTCGGGTGAGGCCATAGTGGCCAGCTCAACCTCCTTATTCTGAAGCTTGAGCTTTGAGCTCTTGATAGCGAGCTCCATTTCCTTGACGGCTTCATCTCGCAGACCTTGGTCCATCTCCTCTCGCTTGGAATTTGCGCCATCGTCACCAGCAGTTGTCACAGAAGCAAATTCCAACGCCAGCGAAAGCTTGAAGTGGGCTTCAGCAATGACCTCCGACTCCTCGGGGTACAGCTCCAGCTTATATTTGAGCGAGGTCCTGCCGTCTTCAATGGCGTTGGGATATCTATATGAGTGTTGTGGTTAGGACAAGGCTGAAAAATCGTGGGGGCTTGCGCGTACCGTTCATTCTCGAGAGAAATCTCAGCGAGGGCATCGTGAGTGTCTGCAAGACGCTCCTTCACGTGCCGGACGGTAGGCGAATCGCCCTCTGCAGCCTCCTTGCCTTTGCCGCTGGTTTCGGATTCCTCCTGTTCGAGAAGCTCGAGTTTCTTCATGAAGCAGACTCGGGCAA